CTATTCCTTCACTCTCCCTTCCCCTTACTCTCCCTCTACCTCCCTTCCCTCACTTCCCTCTTCCCTCACTCTCCCTCCCTTCCCCTCACTCTCCCTCCCTCCCCCTCCACTCTCCCTCCCTATCCCCTCCTCTCCCTCCCTCTACGTCCCTTCCCCCCCTCACCCCTCACTCTCCCACCCTTCCCCTCCCTCTCCCCTCCCTCTCCTCCCCTCTCCCTCTCCCTCCCTCCCATCCCCTCCCTCTCCCTCCCTCCCTTCCCCTTCCTCTCCCGCCCTCTCCCCTCCCCCCCCCCCCTCCCTCCCCTCTTCGATTCGCTCAGCTGACATTTCAATCTTCACGGAAAACACCACAGCGAATGTACAGCGATCGACCCACACACAGCCCTCTCTCTCTGCATGCGTGCTTGATGTGAAAACTGGGTGGTGGTTGGATGTTGGATCAAGGATGAGGTGAAGGACGGATAAGAGAACGAATTCGGGTTAAGGTAATGAAAAGGGTAAGGATAATGAAGCGTATTAGTGGAGTTGGTTACGTTGATTCGGGGAAAAATAATGAAAATAGGGTAAAGGATGATGAAGTGTGAAGGTGTGGCTATCCTCTGCGGGTTGGTTACGTTGGATTCGGGTTAAAAGGATAATGAAAATGGGGTAAAGGATAATGAAGTGTGAAGGTGTGGATATCCTCTGCGGGTTGGGTGCGTTGGCTGATCGAAATGAAGTGGATAGTGGATTATGGAGGATGAATGAGGGAGCAAACGAGGGAGGAAAAGGATAAACAGGCTAAAAGATAATTGTATTTACGGTAAGGTGTGAATGCTATACAAATGAGAGTGTATGCGGATATATAGATGTATTAATGTAAGATATATAGTGATTAAAGGACTTTCCTTTAGTATAGATATGGGGAAATATTTTCAATAAATATATTAAAAGAATGGCAGAAAAGATGAAAAAAGAAATAATATATTAGATAAATAATATATTAAAGCAACGGCAGAAAAGATGAATAAAGAAATAATTTATTAGATAAATAATATATTAAAAGAACGGCAGAAAAAATGAATAAAGAAAGAATAAGAAAGGAATCGAATGATAGTGTAATAAACGAGGGTATAGAGGAGGGGATAAAGGGAAGGAAGGGAGGAGGGGAGGGGAGGGGAGGGGGAAAGGAGGTTAGGGGGAAGGGGGATGAGATGAAGGGAGACGGGGAATGTGAAGGAAGGGATAGGGGAGGGGGAGAGGGAGAGGGGAGAGAGGAAGAAGGAGGATAGGAGAGGTGTGAGGGAAGGGGTGATATGAGGGAAAGGGAGGCAAGGAGAGGTATGAGGGAAGGGGAGATATGAGGCAAGGGGAACTGTGAGAGAAGGGGAGGTGAGAGGAGGTATGAGGGAAGGGGGTGGTCGGATGGGGGAGGGGGAGAATGACGGGGGGGGGGGTTAACATGCACTGGCAGGTTATTGACCATGAAGGCGACATACCTACCGCATACTAGCTCATAAACACACGGCATTCTTCTTTTTATTTCTTCCAGTCTGTCAGCTGTGGTAGTAAAGGGGATTACCATCACACACACACACCACACACACACACACACACACACACACACACACACACACACACACACACACCACACACACACACACACACACACACACACACACACACACACACACACACACACACACACTCACACTCACACACATACACAAGCACACACACCACACATACATACACACACACAAAGACACACATACTCACTTACACACACACATATTCACAGACACACACACACAGGCCCTAAATACATGCACAATTACCCGGCCTTCTGTCGTGTTAATACAGACAAAAGTTCCCATTTACTTAATATATATTTTCTTTTCAACTTCCATTTCCGTCCATTTGCATATCATATTCACGTTAATTTTTTTAAAGTTCAAAATCAACGTTTATTTCCAACTTCATACCTGTAGATGTCTTATTCTTTTTTCAAGTTCAAGCCTGAACAATATTTTACTCTATGGAAACCCTTTTCCCACTTCCTCTGTTTCATGTACTTTGAAAATATAAGCAATTGATATCAAGAAATGCTTAACAAAGAAAGGAATTTATTTAGATATAAGTGAACGAGGCTATATACATCTATTTAAAGAATTCCAGTTTAGGTCGGCGGAATATGACCGATATTTGTTGACATTTGAACGCTATCAGCCTGTATAACCATACTAGAAATCGCTGCTTTTCGCCAGATTCCAAAGTGTATCGAACGACCGGCAATGTGTATTTGTAGATTGGGTAAGATCATTAAAAGAATAACAATAAAACAATGAAAAGTGAAGCCTCTCTATATCTTTATCCTTTTCTATATCTATATCTACATTTATATCTCTATCTCTATATATCTCTCTCTATCTATATCTACATTTATATCTCTATCTCTATATATATCTCTCTATCTATCTTTATCTATCTATCTATCTCTATCTTTATCTACATTCATATCCATACCTACGTTTGTCTAGCTATCGATCTGTCAGCCAGCCTAAAGATCTCTCTGATTACTTATCTATGAATATAAATTGTCGTCTTTAACCGGTATTGACAGTCGGAATTGCAGCGGCTTATTGTTATATACGACATGACGTGAATGTCAGTGCTCTATCTGATAAAAACAATCAGTCACGATTGTTGAAATAGATAAATTTGATTCATTGATGTTAAAACTTGTTATTGATGTAATTGTAAAGCTATAAGAGAGAGAGAGAGAGAGAGAGAGAGAGAGAGAGAGAGAGAGAGAGAGAGAGAGAGAGAGAGAGAGAGAGAGAGAGAGAGAGAGAGAGAGAGAGAGAGAGAGAGAGAGAGAGAGAGAGAGAGAGAGAGAGAGAGAGAGAGAGAGAGAGAGAGAGAGAGAGAGAGAGAGAGAGAGAGAGAGAGAGAGAGAGAGAGAGAGAGAGAGAGAGAGAGAGAGAGAGAGAGAGAGAGAGAGAGAGAGAGAGAGAGAGAGAGAGAGAGAGAGAGAGAGAGAGAGAGAGAGAGAGAGAGAGAGAGAGAGAGAGAGAATGATCTATTATCGGTCTATCTATCTACCTATCAGTTAAACAGATAGGTAGATAGATAGACATATACTGTAGACACTTAAATGAATAGATGAATAACTAGATAGATAGAGAGACAGAAAGATAGAGAGATAGATAGAATAATCAGCCACATATGAAATAAAGTTTAATCACACACACAAAAAAAAACACACACATACAAATACACACATACAAACACAAACACACAACACACACACACACACAACACACACACACACACACACACACACACACACACACACACACACACACCACACACACCACACACACACACACACACACACACACACACACACACACACACACACACACACACACACAACACACACACACACACACACTCCCCTCCTCCTCGCAACACACACTTTTACCATGTTTGATATCATCAAACAGTCATAATCCAAATCAATTAAAACGGTTTAGTGATCGTAACCCGTATGTAATGAGATATTTTTATCGTTTTAATGGACATTGCGATCATAAACACTAATAATATCTATATGAATACGCTTCGTGGGATAGCCGGGTTTGCCAGCTGTGAGGACCCCTTCTGTAACTAAATGAAAGTACATATTTTTTATCATTACCACTACTTCTGTTATCATCATCATCATCATCATCATCATCATCATCATCATCATTATTATTATTATTATTATCATTATTATTATTATCATTATTTTCATTATAGTCATCATCATTATCACTATAATTATTAATATCATCATCATTATAATCAATACTATCATTATTATCCTTATCATTGTTATCATCGTTATTAATACTATCATCATTATCATTGTTACTGTATCCATTGCTGTGTTATGACAATAACAATGATGGTAATAATAAAAATAACTGCAGCAACACTGATGATGATGTCGATATATAATCACAATGACAATTGTATTGACAATGATATAATTGTTTTAATGTAAATATAAACAGTGATGACAGTAATAATGATTACAATGGTAATAATAATCATAACAATAGCGATATAACCTTTGACTCTGTGTGGATATTATGAACTAGAGGAATTTTCCAAAAGAGTCATTTTATAAACAAATTAGTTGTTTTTGTGATGCAGAAATCCTATCAATGATGATTAAAAACATATAATTGACATAAAAGGTATTTGTTCCATTATGGTGTAAATATATAAATAGATTTCGCTGATTGAAAGGAAAATTATCAAACGGTATTTATGTATTTCTATATGTGTTTTAGCAGAGAAATTTGTACATGCGTGGCCTTGCAGATAAATTGGTTTATTACTGATTGATTAAGACATGTTTACTGTTAAATAGATAATGAAAGCCATTCATCAGATGGAATGAGAGTAATATGAAGTATTATTAGGGAAAAGTGCTTTATATCCACATCAAATCGTACACTATTCAAATTTGATGTTCAAGTAAATATCACATTAGCAGAGGCAAAATAAGATTAGCAAATCAGTCAAGAAAAAAATAAAAGATGACAATAACAACAAAAAAACTACATGTTATATGAAACTATAATCACACACCGGCATGCATAAACTGTATATATACATACATACATACATACATATATATATATATATATATATATATATATATATATATATATATATATATATATATCAAAGTCACCTGTTAACACAACGGTGAAATTAAGTAAGGATAATGTTGATGAAATGAACATATACATAGGTGAAAACTAATGAAATACGTATTTAGAAAAAAAATAAAGAAAAGGCAAAATAATATGAATGAGAACAAAAAATAAACTGTTTCTTATCAAACACACAACATTCACACACACACACAAATCCCCACACAAATCCCACGCCTCCACAGGCATTTCCTTCCGCCGTCCTAACGCTCTCTCTCTCCCCCCCCTCCCCCCCGCCCCCCACAGCCGGAACCAGGGGCGTGGCCTTCGAGGTGAGCAACACGAACGAAAATGGCGAATCCCTGATCAAGAGACACCCTCCTAAGAAGTTCCAGAAGCTCGAGG